GATTATAGTAATATTTTTTTTGAAATTAACTTAAGAAATTATTTTCGTAATTTTCATTTAACATCATTCATATTCAAATATGTTTTAAATTTTTAAATATCATGTTCAACTTCTTTTATTTTTCAAATTTCATAATTTTTATATCTAAAAACGATCGGAAAAACTCAAAAGTACATGGAGATGCTATCTTTTGTGGATTCCACTCCTTGATTGATGGATATCAAAATTAAATGAGTACACTTATCGTACCCTTTCTAATAACTTTTGCTTTATTTCCTTTTTCTATAAAATTCATAGGGACCACCCTTCATTTATATGTATTTATTATATTAGTTTTTTATAATAAAAAATTATATATAATTTTTTTTGATTTTCTTTTGTAGTTCTATAAATTGATTGAACTTTCTTTTTACTTCACATAAGATGATAACAATTAATGGAAAAGGGTCAATTTGAATCGTTTAGTATCTTGAACTAATTGGCTAACGATAAAGATATTTTTATGACAAAAATGTAATAAAGAATGAAATTAATCTATTTTGAATAGTTAAAAATTATTTATAATTGTTTTTCCTTCATATTATTCATTTACTATTTGAAGTTTTAACCACAAGTGTACGTAGAAATTTAGCTTTTGTGGATTTCATTATGTTGTCATCTACACATTTTAATTTTAGATCTACGTAATTAGATATTTGGATTTGTATAAAATAAAACAAGTAGTTGCCACTTACTCAAATTGATTAGTGTCATGCTATGTAGAACACATGCCTCTATTTATTCACATCCAAAATTCGAGAAGATAAATATCAGTTAAAATCAAACTAAATAACATACTTCTATATTATCAGAATAAAAAACAACCTAAAACTTAGCAATGCGCATAGTATAACTGTTATATTTTTTCAAATTTCACAATTTTAATGTCTAAACGACCCACGAAAAATTCAAAAGCATATGGATATGCTATCTTTTGTGGATTCTATTCCCCGCTCCCACAAAAGCTAAAAGAAATATGACCCACCACTCCTTGATTAATGGCCACCAAATTAGATGAGTACAGCCTACCGTACCCTTTTCTAACAAATTTTATAATACAAACACAAAAATACACATATGCTAACATTATTTTCTTCTACTAATATGAGTTATGGTGAAATAGTGAGATCAGTTGCCGAGCTAGAATCGTTTAATAAGGGGGTTCAAAATCTGAGAAGTAAACACATGAACTAGTGAAAGGGGTTTCGACATCTATTATACATACCTAAAAAATAATTTTAACCATGTATAAATAGTAATATTTTCCGTTGAGGGGGTTCGGATGAATCCCCTAAATATATGTTGTGTAACATCTCGCAAATTGAAAGAACTAGAAAGAGTGATTTTTGGAAATAATAAAAATCTGGAAAATTGGTTAAGTTTGAGTTTTTGGTCAACTTCAAACGACCATAACTTCTAACTCAAGATGATTTAGGTGTGTTTCAAGATATCGTAGAAAAGATCTTGGAATAATCTTTCCAATGCCGCCAAGTTTGCGCGATTCTGAGTTCGTACGAGAGAGATATGCCCATTGAAAGTTGGGTTGTTCAAATAAAGAAATGTTCAATTCGGATTTTAGAGGGGCATTATGGTTTTTTCCTTACCCAATTATTTTATTTCGTTTTTGGGCAATTAATTGGGGTCTAAACTGATCTTAGTCAGTTTGCACTTTTGGAAAAAAGAGTTAGGCTTTTGACAAAAGAGAAAAGAAGAGGAGAAAGGAGGAAATGAAGCAAGAATCGTCAAGATTTTCACGAATCGCTTGTGGATTTCGTCAAGGGGTGATCCCTACAAGGTATGTGAGTTCACACATCATTGGGTTCGTTCACCCACGCGCCAAACATGTTTTTATTCAATGTAATTTCGTCCTAAAAAGATTGAGAATTTGATGTTCTTGAGTTATTTTCTTGAATTGCTTCCGTTCTTGAATTTGGGATGAGATTGAGGAGTTCTTGAGAGTTTAGGATTGATTATTAGAGTTGCTTTGAGTTAGATTCTTGTGTATATGTTGTGGGTACCTGAATCTAAAGAGATATGGAGAAAAATAATCAAAATTAGGCGGATTTGGGCTAGAAAACGAAGAAGGAACAAGTCGGGCAAATTTGGGTACCATACCCGCTCAGATTTGAAAATTTTCCCCTCGCGTCATGGAGTGGTCACAGACCGTTCTGCCTCAAAATTTATTTTCGCGACCAAAATTTAAATACACCTCCGCGTCGCGGACCAGCTTTCAGGTAGTGATTTCTTGATCTTTTCTCATGTTTAACTATCTAAAATCATTTTCTAAACATCATGAGATCTTTCCTATCACAAATCGTAATCCTTAAATCCACAATTCAATTCAAGGAAAGTTAAGAGTCAAGTCAAGAGAAGTTAGGAGCCAAGTCAAGAAAAGTTAGGAGCCAAGTCAAAAGAAGTTCATAGAATCTTCCAAAAGTCTTTTACAAATGATTTAACTTTGTTTTAAGACTTGAGTTTTGAGTTCAGTAAAGAGTACAGTTGAAGTTCATATCTTCAAAAGTATATGGGGACTATGTATTCCCAAAGAGTTTAAAATGTTTTCACATTTAAACAGGGAAACTTTGATTTCCAGAGAGCCTTTGAGCTAGTCTTCAGAAAAGAGTAAATGCTTTCACAATTAAGCAAGAAGAAAAACTTTGATTTCCAAAGAGCCTTTGAGCTAGTTTTCAGAAAAAAGTAAATGCTTTCACAATTAAGCAAGAAGGGAAACTGAGATTTCCAAGATTGCCTTTGAGCTAAGTTTTGAGCAATTATCTCAAATCACTGAAAGAAGTTATGTTTTTAAAACATAAAGAGCTAGTATATTTTGGGAGTAGTATTGAGCATTGATATGGGGGAGAGTTCAAAGAACTCTGAGCCCCTATAAACCATGTAGCAATCATGGGTAGAAAAGGGTCATACTTTTTAGATGATCCATTTAGTGCTTTTTAGCATAGACTAGTGAATTCACTTAGTAGTTCATGTTCTATACCCCGACAAGGTATAAGACGACCCTGGCAGCGTGAGGCAAAACGTTGTATCATCACGATAGCTCTTAAGTGATGTTTGTCGGTTAGAGAAATTCCCACAGCAGTACTTTGTATTTTCATATACAAACATAGTTCATATTGTATCTTTGCATACATACATAGTTATTATTGTATTTCTAAATACACAGAGTTGAAAATCATGTTTTAAAGCTTTTCTTTATACTGCATTTATATACACTGCTTTATATTGAAATCAATTGAGTTGAGTTGAGCCAGGTAAGTTCTTCAATTCCTTTCAAGCTTATGTCTTGTTTTAGAATTCCCCTCGCATACTCGTACATTCAATGTACTGATGTCATTTGGCCTGCATCTTATTATGATGCAGACACAGGTAACCAGGATCAACATCCAGCGCATCGTTGATCCAGTTGAGCACTCAGAGTCAGTTGGTGAGCCATTTTGCTTTCCGGAGGATCCCTTTAGTTATGTTTTGTTTTATTACTTGCTTATTTCAGTTGTTAGGATGATCTTTTGTCCCGACATCCCTCAGAGTTTAGAGGCTTCATAGACAGAGTTAGTTGATGTTAGTTCATGAGTCTTTACTTTTCCTTTTCAGTTAAGTTGAGACTTGAGTTTCCACTTTGGCAGTGAATGTTATTTATTACATTCTCAGTTATTTATTGAGCACTTCAGTGTATTATTTTAAAAGTATTTATCTTGAATAAAGTCTTCCGCTGAGTAAGAAAGATAGGCCAAGGGTTCGCTTGGGGCCAGCAATGGTTCTCGAGTGCCGGCCACGTCCAGGGTGTATGCTCAGGGAGTGACATGTTGCCTCCGCCCCTGAGTGAGACTGTTCTATCATTAATCAGAGGTCTTGAATTCGAGTTCTATATATGAAGAAAATCTTGTTGGGAGCGTCATATTCGAATGAGCCAAGTAATGCCTGATCCAGATTTAGTCAAGGCTCTAATACGAACTCTGGACACCGGATGGAAAAAAAATAAAAACAAAAAAACATTATTTTCTTCTAGAAAATCCAAAGGGACCACCCTTCATTTAGATGAATGATGATTTATCATCACAGTTAATTTATTTTGAAAAATTGATGTACAGTATATATTTTTCTTTTCATATTTTTGTAGATTTTTTACTTTTGTAGTTCTACAAAGTAAAAATTGTTAAACTTTCTTTTCACTTTAAATAACATTAAAGTAATAGGGTCAAATTGATAAAATTGTCTTTATCTTAAATAGTTTAGTATTTTGGAGCAATCGGCGGTGAAAAGGATATTTTTGAGCTACTTGAATAGTTGAATAAATGTATTTTTAAGCTAGTTGCCTAACGATAAAAGGTATTTTTATGCAAAAAAAAAACGTAATAAAAAAACAGAATTAACGTATTTCAAATAATTCAAGGATAATTATAATCCTTTTTCCTTAATTATAATTCTCTATGGTTCAAAAGTCTTGTTTAGGAGAAAATTATTCTAGTACATATTAGTAAATTATTTATATGTAAATCAATAAACCAAATCATGTTTATTTATATGTTCTTTTAGGGAGCTTTGATCGAATTTTAACCACAAGCCTATGTAAAAACTTACTTGCAACATCACCAACAATAATATATCCCGAGTAATTCTATAAGTAATGTCTAAGGAGAACAATATTTACGTAAATCCTACCTTTACTTGGAGATGTAGAGAGACAGTTTCCAATAGACCTCGATTCAACATAAAATACTAAACAAGATAGACAAGAATTAACTTGAAACAACAACAACAATAATATATTTTGTGTTATCCTCCAAATGAAGTCTGAGAAGGACAGTATATATACACATAAACCTTTCCTTTACTTTGAGAGATAGAGAAACTATTTCTGATAAACTTTCGGCTCAAGAAAACAACACAAATGAAGAAATCAAAATGAAATACTAAATAAAAGGCATGTAGAATTTACTTAAAAGATTCATAATATAACAAAAGCAGCATACTTTTTTTATTACATAGCAAACTCCTCAACTTAACAACAAAACTTTGATAAAGCACCAAAATACATATATTCCTACTCTCCCTCAACCTTTTATAATTAAAAAAATATATAAAGGTGGGGAAAGCTTGGATCTTTTTACATAGCTTGAAATCTTTTTTTTCTGATTTTTTCTTGTTATAATATAAACTAGGAGATTCATTATCATCTACAAGATTCTTCTCCAATCTCCACAACATAACAACCCATATTTTCTTGTTTTTGGTGTAATATACACAACAAACACATTAGAAGAAGCTTTTTATCAAAATTTGTACTGCTCTACTAGTATTTATCTTGTTTCAGGTTCAATCAGCCATTGATCTTGTCTCTCCTCCATTAATCACCCATGGATGTCCTGTATTTAACAAATAACATCAACATCACATAATATTCACCAAAGAGAAAACACCAGTTTGAAGAATCAAGAAAACAATTTGGACGACAAGTGGGAGTTGCTAGGATGGTAAGCATCCCTCATGAGTCACGTCCAATCCTATGTAAGTTCGAATCACCAAGGGAGCAGACTAAGGAGGGTAAAAAAAAGAAACATTTCATAGTTCAAGAAATTAAAAAAATTGGAACTTTAGCTCCTATACTAATATAGAACAACGTCTCAGTCTTAAATAAGTTGGGATTCAACATATGAATAATCACTTCGTTATTGCACCATAGAACAACAATAACATACCAATGTAATCCTAAACGTGAGGTTTAGGAAGGATAGAATGTCTACGGATCGTATTTGAAGATTGAGATTCTATAAGCCTATCTCCAATACACTCGACTTAAATAAAACATATCGAACATGGAGAACAGTAACAACAATGAAATAACGTAAAACGGAAATATATTCTGTAATTTTCCAAGCAACTAAAACAGGGGAATATGAAAATCAGAGAAATTTAACTTACTCAGTACTTGTTCAGCTGAAAATCTTCTGGAAACATCCTTACATATCATCTTCCTCAACAAATCTTTCGCTTCAGACGAAACTGACCTGAAATTCCTCGTCGGAAACCTCAAATTTCCCCTGAGAACAGCTTGAAAAGTCTCAGTCGGCGTTTCACCGTAAAAAGGAGGAACCCCAGAAAGCATAATATACAAAATAACCCCCACACTCCACACATCAACCTTCTCATTATACTCTTTCCCCATCAAAACCTCCGGCGCAACATAATACGGCGTACCCACAACCCCACTCATCATCCTCCCTTCACAACCCGCAAACCACTCCGCAGATCCAAAATCAGCAAGCTTCAATCTATTCTCAGAATCAAACAACACATTATCTGGTTTAATATCACGATGAGCAACACCCATATGATGACAATAGCTAATCGCAGAAACCAACTGAATCAGAATAGCCGCGGCAGCCGATTCTGACAACGACCCAGATGAAACCCTTTCGTATAAATCGCTATTCGGGCAGAAATCGGTTACCATATGAAGGAAATCGTCATCTTCGTAAACTTTATAGAGATGAAGAATGTTGGGGTTACCGGAAAGGAGTTGAAGAATTTTGGGTTCTTTATCGAGACACTCACGGTCGGTGGAATCAATGAGGAGGTTTTTGTCGATAGATTTACAGGCGTAGGATTCTCCGGTCGCCGGAGAAAAGCACCGGTAGACGGTACCGAATCTACCACGGCCGATTTCTTCGCAAATTTGAAAATCGTTTTTCAAGGTTTGGAACATTTTTTCAAGGCTTTGTTCTGTTTCTTTTTTTCTGGTTTTAATAGAATGAAAGAAGTTATATTTATAAATTCTTAAAAAATCGAATATTCGTAGCCTAAGGTTTTACATGGGGTCATTAATCGAGTGAATAAATTAGTGGGTTTTTAATTTGCAAAAATTTGATGTACTAAACAAGTCATTATTTCATTTGACTAAAAATTTTACCTCTACTCACTCCCTATTTTTCATTAGTCAATCAAAATTATAAGTTGAGTCAGTCATTAACTCGTACAAACTTAACGTGATTGAAAAAATGATGATTCATGGATTAATATTTTTATCGTTAAAGATTGCTTAAATTTTATGTCAAATTAAATTATATTACGGAGTAAAAAAAAATTATGGCAATAGTTGAGTCATGAATGTGACAGGGCACGAGGAATATTGCATGTCATATTATAAAATTGTTTAATTTTAATCAACGTTAAGTTCTACATATATTAATATTTTTTTTATATCATATGATATAAAATAAAATAAATTTAAGGTTTATGTGGAGGAAGTTTGGTTAATTGACTTTTAGAGTGTAAGCAATTAGGTCATATATCAGGTATTATTTGTATATTAACGGCAAGAAAGTGGACTTTTCTTTATTAATTAAAGAATATATTTAGTAGGCATTTGGTTATTTTATTTTTGAATTCATGGAGTTGACGTTGAGGATAAAATAGTAATTTCGTTTGAAATTTTGATCTATGAAAACTCATTCGAGTTGCACATCTACCGAGGCAGAACGAATTTACACAAGTAAGATCATTTCTCGTTGCTTTAACTTTTGATTATGTTTAAAATATTAAAGTTGTATAAAAAAAATAATATTTATATTGAAAGTTGGAGTTCATAATTTATAACGAATAACCAAAAAAATTATCTTTATCATATTCATAACGAAACCCCAATAATATCAAAATCTCATAGTGATAATTGGATTCAATTCAAACCTTGGAAAATTAATAAACTACCTCACTTGTCTACTTCAACAATATTATCATCTCCTTAATAATGCACTTTAATAAAATTAAAATTATTTGAGGAAGACAAGTGTTGGATAACTCCAATATTTGGAGTCAATTATGGGAACCATTCAAAGGGGTAGACGTGTAGTGCAGAAGATGAGTCTGCTTCTCATTTAATCAGAAGTCTCGATTTTAAATTTTGAAAATGAAAAAAATTTCTTTAGTAGAAAGGACTCTCTCCGAATGAGCTCTATGTCGTATCACGTATGTATTCAAATTAATCAGACTTTAATATAAATATCAAATAACAAATAAAATTTTAAAAAATTAAAATAAAATGTCAATTATTGGAGGCCAATAAATAATTTAAACCTTCCTATCAAAGAAAAAGCAAATGAAAATTCAACAACTGCAAAATGATCATGTGTCACTTCAATTATCACTTTTTTTTTTGTTTGGTACTAAGAGACGTGATTATTATTCGTATTGTCTATTATTTGGGGGTGAAAGAGGCTCGTTTGTGTGAAGTCTGAATCACTACCGCAAATGAGTATTCTTTTAAGCAAATTATTTATCAAAAAACATAAACATCGAGATAATTTCATATCTAAAATTTGGAACTATTTAAGGATGATTTTAAGTTGATTGAGATTGACTAGTCGGTGTATACTGTTTTTTAAAATGTCAATATTTTAGTATTTAATAGGACCTCTTAGCCAGACTTTCAATATTTATTAAAAATGCCAATATTTTTCTTTTGTTATAGGGTTGATTATGTATTTTTTTTCATTTGTTTAATTTTAAAGACTTCAATTAGTTAACAGAAATGAGAAAATTGTGGGAAAGAGTAATTTAAAAGCTTTTAGATTGAAATTTAAATAGAGAAATATTGAGATACATTGTGAGGACAGAAATACAAAACTTTTGATGGTATACAATTAGAATAAAAGCAAATAAAAAATAAATACAAACAAAAATTATGTTGTATTTCAGATAATCAGCTAGAAAGATACTATTATGAACGACTAACTTTGTATCCGTTGCCGAGGTTGAATACAATTTGATGATAAAAATACAAAACTAGTAGGCATACGGTTAGAATAAATACAAAATAAGAAGCAATATAACAAAAAATATGTTGTATTCTACATAATCCCCACAAAATAATATTATGTACTATACAAAAGTCGTATCTAAACAAAAATTATGTTGTATTCTACACAATCAGCTGCAAAGGTACTATTATGAACTACTAACTTTGTATCCACTTCTGAGGATGAATACAATTTGATGACATAAATACAAAACTAACAGGCATACAAATATAAGAAAAAACAAAAATATATTGTATTCCACAGAATCCTAAAAATATGAGATTATGAACTACAAAAATTATATCCAATTCATAATATGAAAACAAAATGAAAATAAGATTACAAAACATTATAAAGTTGTTCATTAAGCCACGATTTGTTCAAGATTAAAAAAAATGGAAAAATAGTACTATCAATTAAGTTTTCAAGGATTTGGCATATCTTCCAAAATAAATTTTGCTTTAGTCTATAGCACAATAATTAGGAAAACTTGATGGGATTACATGGTGCTAAATCAGAACAGAAAATGTCCATTTTTTACTTGAAAAAATGATGAACATTTCAGTTGTGGCTAAATCAATGGATTGTTGTGAATATCTTTTGGGAGATTTTTACAGATTTTTGAAAATAATTGAAAAAAAAACGTTACCTATCAAAGAGAGAGAGAAAGAAAGGAGAAATTTGGAGTAAAAACCTAGAAAGAGGTGAAAGTGGATAATAAGGTTTTTTTATTATTTTACTTTTTCACTAGGTAGTGGTAAAAATGAGTCCAATGTGGAATTGATTTGAGAAATAAAAGGAAAGGAAATTAATTATATTAGAATACATTATATTTGCTAAAATATTGACATATTGACATTTTCAATAATTATTTTAAAGTATAGATATTTTTAATAATTATATTAGGGATTTTCACTAGTTTGCTAATTTTCTCTACTTTATACATAGTTAAACTATATTAAGTTTTTAGAGTTTATCATAATGAATAGACAATGTATAACTTAAATATTGGTACGCTAATAAACTATATTGTATAATCAATATATATTTTTTATATTGTTTAATCAAATATACATTTTATAACTTTTAACTATCTTTTTATGTAAATAAAATACTAACATATTTATTATAAACTATTTTATACTCCCTTTGTCCTTAATTACTTGTCCACTTTTGAATTGACATACCTATTAAGAAAAAAATTAATGACATAGTGAGTTTACCATTTTACCCCTATTAATTATGAAGTGGATGAAAAGTTCTACATTTTTAAAAGTAATTAGTCATTTAATTGAGGGTATAATAGGAAAAAAAACGTCCTTTCTTGATTTGTCAAAATGGACAAGTAATTAGGGACAACTATAAAAGAAAAAGTGGACAAGTAATTAGAGACAGAGAGTATATATTTGAAACTAGCCATAAATTTTATATCATTAGATTTAATTTTTTTCAAATAGCAATACCTTATTCCAACAGTGGCGGACCCAGGATTTTCGTTCAGGGGGTTCGAAAAATAAAAGTATAAACGTGTAAATAAGCCTTTAGAAATGAAAACCTTGAATTCTTTTGGGTTTAAAACCAAACTTTTAACACATTTTTTAAAGTAAAAAAATAAACTATAAAAAACTTGAAAAACAGAACTGAAAATTTTAAAAAAAACTAAAAAAAACTAAAAAAGAAAAAAATAAAGTGCTATCACTAGGATTCAATCCAGTGATTACAACTTAATTTCAAGGGTATTTGCCACTGCGTCGTCAGTTTCTCTTTGTTATTGAGGGGGTTCAAAATATATATATCTATAGAAATACAGAAAATTTACCTTATATATATCGTGTAATTTTTGCCGAGAGAGTTCGAGTGAACCCCCTGGATACCACGTGGGTCCGCCCCTATATACCAAGACCACAGATTTTCGAAATAGCCCATAGTTTTTCACATCATGTTCATAAAAAAGTTCAACTATTTGCTATCTTATTAATTAGTGTAATAAAGTGCCACATGAGCCACCAAATGACAATAATGTGGGGTGACTCAACTTTCACACTCCTTACTTTTTTTGTTTGGTAGAAATTAATAATATTATATATAGATAATAGAATTTGTCGTCAAATAGCAACTAGTTGTAAAAAAAATACTATAATTATTTGAAATCTTTCAAAAGTAATTCCTAACATGTCTATCTGGCATATATATATATATATATATATATAACAAATATTTAACTGTGAATCAAAATAATACGTAAATTTTAAATTTTAAATTCGCTAGCACTTTAAAATAATATTATTAAACAGTCTCAATCACACTAAATATTATACTAGTATACACTGTATTTCTTAGGTTTTGTTGCCTTTAAATTCTCTTTTAAAATGAGTATATTATATATTATCAAAATATGTTTTTGATTAATCATCAATAATTAAGATTAATTAATCAAGGGATGCATAATAGTATCTTGTCAAGTATAACCTAAGAATATTCATTTAATATGCTTTTTTGGAATCCTTACAAAGCCGTCCACTTGAAAGAGTGATGACATATGTCCCATGATAAGTGCTTTTGTGAAGTGAGAAGAAAGTTTGGTTTTTCTATATATTCTGTATTCGATATCCATATTAATAATCCTGATAATTTAAATTTATATCGCATAAAATCTATTTATGAGAGAAGTACTTTCTAATCATACAAATATTTCTATCATATTTACTAATTCTCTTCCTAATTTGAGATAATTAAATTTTATCTCACTAATTAGTAATTCTATATCAGATTTCAAATCAAATGCATCGAAATACATGTTTTTTGCTATCAGATACATTGAAATTGGGAGAGAAGGCGAACGACAACTGAAAGGACACGAGCAAGATTTATTTATGCAACTCAAATACTTGTGAATCACACTAGATACATATATTTGGTATGATTTGTATATGAAAAATCAGATACGCGAGCAAGATAGGAGGAGGCGAGCGAGATTTGTATATGTATCCCATATGCATACTAATTCACTTGAATACAATATATCTAGAACAAATTAAACTTAATTTTGGTAATCTGGACATATTTGGACGCACAAAAATCTGGTTAAATTCGTAAGCTTATAAACTAGCGTGAATCTATGGAATTAACTCTTATATTAATGAATTTTTTTTAAGTTATCTCTAATAACTTTACACACTGTTTACACAATTAAAAAAAATTACACGTCTTTCATCAAATTTTGACTTGGCCTTTGTTAATAAGAATTCGAACTTGAAATCTTTAATTAATAATGAAGATAGTGTATCAATACCACCTAAATCCTTATTTATATGTTTTGATTAAAAGAAAAAGAAAGGTAATCACACTCTGAAAGAGATGTATTACTAGTAACTATAAAATATTAATTATTATAAAATTACAAATGCTTATACTATGGTTTCTTATCCATTACTTTGTCATATAGTTTATATTATATTTGATTAGATTCTAATCAAAATTTGTCTTCTCATGCACATGGCACAAATAGCAGTTATATGCTGGTACCAATAAATGAATATTAAAGTGTGCCAGCATAAACAAAATATGTGATTGAAAATAATTCCTTTTGGAGCAAGTGAAAATGACCTCCAAACTTGAGATTGGAATATACTTTATTCAACTGTTAAAGATTCAATGTACTCACAATAACATAATAAATAAATGTATCTTTTAATTTGGACTCAGCTGATATTTAATCTTTCATAATTAAACTAGTAAATCAAAACTAAACTATCACCACCAGCCTCGCTCTTTTATCGTCGGGGAGGAGCATCTCGAAGTATGGTAAAAGGATATTGCATTTTGACTTTGTCTCTCAGAAGTCACCGTAAGTTGAGTTTGAGGCACCGATGAACCCAACGGATTTCGTAGTTTGACTGTACACCAAAATTCAAGAAATATGAGAAGATTTGTAATGTTTCACAACTACCCTTAATGTTTAGTCAAATACATGGAACTTAATACAGGTAAAATGTTGATAATATTATTAAATATTTGTCAAAAAAAATGTCATATAAATTATAAGAGAGAAAATAGTACTCCCTCGGTCTCATTTTCTGTGACATTCTTTGACTTGACACGATGTTTAAAATAAAAAAACTTTTGAAACTTGTGGTTTGAAACAAACTTGGATATTTATGTGATTGATATTCATTTCATTTAAGGGTAAGAAGGAAATTTCAAAGTTAAATTGTTTCTAATTATAGTAAGCTGATATTTTTTTGAGACGAACTAAAAAAAGGAGTGTCACATAAAATGGGACAGAAGAAGTATTTTTTTCACAATGAGTCAATCTTTTGCATCAAATAATCACTCATAGTAAAGAGTTGATTATGACTTAATGGGAAAAGATGCTCCCCAACACACATAGAAAACCTTATCTAATCATCTTAGATCACAAAATAAGAGAGCTAAAGCTCATTCAAACAAAAGCTTGATTAAATGTTAGAAAAAAAAAATAGGGGAATCTTATAATTTAGAATTCTTAAATTCTTGGGACATGACAAGGCCTTTGATTGCTCATTTTGGATAATACTAATTCTTTGTCCAAACCACTTATAAAGAAAGACACACACAAGAAAAAGAAGACAAAATATGACAACAATGGAATATGATGATTCACTTTTGAGGTCCCAATGGATGCAAAGACAAAAGAGGCAGTTTTATCTGTCTACTTTTTTCCAATTCGTAAAAGTGATTGATTGAATATAAACTAGTTGTTGTTGCCTTGTAGGTTCACTTGTTTAAAGAGCTTTTGCTTATCCTGTGGGGTCCAAATTCAAATTAATCGAAATTCAAAGCGAATATCAAGATAGCGATAGCAAAGAAGAGTTTTGATTGAGTCCACTTAGCGTACTAATAAGATTAGACGCGAAGATCATTCCATCAGTAATGTTTTAATATGATAATAGCATACTCAATATAATCCCACAAAGTAGAATTTTGAAAGGATAAAGTGTACACAAACTTTACCACTACCTAAAAGATAGAAAGGTTGTTTTCCGATAGACGCTCGGCTCAAGATAACAATAAGAGTGAAAAAAACAAGCAAAACACTAAACAAGGCATGACAAAGCATTCTAAAAAGAAGCAATAACTACAACAAAATAATATGATAATCGAAGTACAAGGAACAATAATATTTACAGAAATTAAAGGAGCAAAAAAACTACAAAAGTAATACTACGACTACAGGTACGGAAGTGTTCCAACAGTTGAGAATTGATAAATAATCCTCATCCACATCAAATCAAATTTAAGAAGCATATACAGAAAACATACACCTTTTTAACCTTACAAAAGAATTACCCCTCAACCTTTTTTTTCAAAAAAAAAAGACATATTAGAAATCAAAAAATTCCCAGCATATTCTGCATGTTACAAATGAGATCAAGAAGATGATTGCCTGTAGTTAGCTAAAACCAAAATTATTGACATCATCAACATAAGAAACACACACTCCTACTCTTTGGTGTGTTCCTTTCTTCATAGCCCCTCGCGAATGATCTAATCGATAGATGCTCCGAAGCATATGTCATGAAGGACGTCAAAATAAGGCCGCCAACCACCATCAAACCTAACCTGTAGAAAAAGCATAAGAACGAAGCTTTACAATAGTTTTTTGGTAGACGTTCACTTGTATCATATCATCTTCAACTAGAGATGTTATTTGACTACTTACGTAGAAAGATATTCTAGTGCCTTATCACAAGAAAAAGGTATCTGTAAAGACGGACAAGAAAACAAAGGAGAGGGCGGGAAATTGGAAGCACAGAGAAGCCAACAGCATCACCAAGAAATTTTACTTGAGCGATGGAACTATATGCGTGGCTACGTGGTCACAGAAGATGGCTTACGTAACACCCCAGCAATGCTGTTGAAGCTTCACTATGAAAGCATACAACAACGTACCCAGTATGAGTGGGGTTTGGGGAGGGTCAGATGAATGCAGACCTTACCCCTACCTTTGTGGGGTAGAGTGGTTGTTTCCAATAGATCCGCGGCTCAAAAGAGAAGAAGAATTTGAAGCACAACTATAAGAAAATAAGACAGCAAAAAAAAGGATACAAAGCAATTCACTATGATAACATAAAAAGGAATATAGGAGACTGTCGTCTAACAAAATGAATTGCTGAAGCATCTTTTAGGCTTTATCAGCCTTTAAAATATGACCTATTTGAAATTCTGATTTAACTTCAAAAGCCTAAATTTACTTGGTATTTTCTCATCCAATGGACTTCATATAAGAATCATCTTCACGAACTTTTCTTCCTTATTCATGAATGAGTTAAAGATGTGATTAAGACTCCATTTATATAATGGTATTGCAATAAACTTATAACTTCACACGTATGGATGGCTAAAAGATTTCGAGTTCCCTAGGTGAAACAAAGAACCACATGGCAAGTAGACATCAAGTGCCATCACGTAATTCAAATCCAGCCTGAATAGACAACAACCAAATGACACAAAATTGATTGAAATGCAGAAATCTTGTCGAAAGTACCTCAAAAACAAAGAAGTGACTCCAAAAACACCAGGCAATGCTGGGGCTGCAATGGCAAGAAATGCCATCCCTAACCCATAGTACCACGCTGCATTGTCACAACATGATTGCTGCCGCTGATGACCTACAAAGCAACAAAACAGGCAGCAACACTGAAGAAATGCACCAACAAATTTAGTAAAATAGAATTCAGAGATCTGGTTACATAACGAACCTTTTCCAGGTTCATAATCCAAGGATACAGGATGAGCCGGAAATTGTCCAGGTTGATTTGCCGCAACCCTTCCCCACTGATAAACTATGTGCAAATAACTTCCGAACAAGAGGAAGAAAAGCGTAAATGTCCATTCGTACATAAGAAGGAGACCAGTCCATGGCATTACTTGGCGCGGAATGATTAAAAGTGGAAGGCCAAGGGACACCAGAGCAGCAGCAAAACAGACACAGACAGATATCGCACCCAGATAAGTAGGCATCTTCAACTGCATACCATTTGGGGACTGTTTATCATTTTAAGATTATGTGAGAAAATCAACATATGCTTATCAATAAGTAAATAAATATTATGGTAGAAATATGGTCATTAATTTCAGCAGCCAAAATATGTCAACTATCAAGGCAAGAATTTAAGGCCCTCTGCATTGTATGATAGGCAATTTATGAATAGTGAAAGGAAGGTGCAAAACTTAATCAGGATGTTCACAACTCAAAAACTGAGAGGAAGAAGAAGAGGTACCTGCTGGTTGGAGCTGATGGCAGATGGAGGAACAGAGGCATAAGCTAGGACACCTCCTCTGACCTTGTAGTACATTTGTCTGATATGATGCCACAGTGATTGTGTCTGCGGAAGCAATCTTTTAGAATATATATTCAAATGTTTGATTAGTGTCTAAGTAATTAACTCTTTTTTAAATCACCAACCTGTAAGAACGACCGATAGTAACAAAATGCTATCAGAAGCAATGGAAGCAAATAAAGAAATTTGACAAGAAGTTCATCTCTGGAATTTTTGCCGCCTCTAGTTCCAGGTAGAGATTCTTGAAGCTGTACCCTAACATTCTGCAGCATAGGCATACATAATAAAGTCACACAATCTTGTACTGGCAAGTTCAAAAGTCCTCCTTTTCCACATCAAAAGACATCCTCATCTCCAAGATGGGAAAAAAAGAAGGCTTCCATGAAGACGCAAAAAAAGGTTTTATGTTGGGTGGGGGACAGAACCAGGGAGCATACTAGTGCAGGAAAAAGACAACCACATTTGGAGAATGCAAAGAGCACTAGCAATGGCTTGAGGAGAGAACATCAAGAATACCTGCCAGACATCAACAGGTTTTAACAGCCAAGACGTCCACCAATCCCACGGTTTAAGCGGGCCAAGAGTGTAATGAATAACTCGAAGTTCTTTTTCATCCACCATCCACTGCAGATACATCAATTGAGAAAAGATAAAGGTCAAAAGAAGGAAGCAAATTTAATGCACTTCCGAAAATATCTACTGCAAACAATTGCCTATGTTAATCTATATGAAACCTTCTCATTTTGTTTCACCGGGAAAACACTTCCTGCCATCCAAGAAAATCTTTTTTTTTCTGGGATATGGTAAACCCCCTCACCCCCACGGCCTACCCATGGCAAAACCAACGAGTCCAGTCCTCCAAAGAAAACAGGAGTCAGACAATGATCCATTCCCACATTATGGTTTGAGGTGGAAGGTAGTACCTAGTATTAGGCTTTTCCTCCCTTATCTCTGGCCATCCAAGATATATTCATTCACTACCTTCTATTAATATCATGCACATTTAGCAGCACGTTCTCCTAAATGGTTTGTGAGCTTTCTCCAAAATTTCTCTTTCCATGGAAAAACTATTCTATGGATAAAATATATATAGTATGAACCAGTCAAATTTCACTAATTGTTGATAACTAAGTGCTATACTACATCAGCATATTCCAGTCCCATGAAAGTCAAATTTTCCTTCTTTTCCTATATCTAACAAAAATGGCAGCTTGAATCCTTCCTCTAAGAGTAAAGGGGTAGGCTGGTGCATTAAAGCTCCCACTATGTGCAGGGTCCAGGAAAGCACTAAAGCATCCTCCAAGAGTGTAAAAACTAATTGTATTTTGTCCATATTTTCATCAAAGGCTAAAGCTTACACACCACATCCCAACCAACTAAAAACACACTCAAAGAAAGGACAGTCTCTTGAATCCAAACATACCTTGTTAGCAAGCATGTAGAGGCCAACATCTGCATTGTAAAGAGTAGAAAGTCTCTCCATTTCTGGAACCTTTCTGGAATTTAAGACATCTGACGGCAAATTTGGCTCATAAACCTGAGCATTAGCGAACCCAACATAGTAGGAGTTGAGGAAACCTTGATCACCTGTTAGAAGAGAAGTAACAATAATTATCAAAACAAAAATAGTTTCACCATTAGGACAACGAAAAAAAAAAATTGTGTAACGAACTATCAGAGCTAGAAAAATATCTCACAAAAATTATTAAATAATAAAAGATAATCAAAATCTTTCAATAGAAACATAAGTTGGACTATAGAAAGATGTGATGACTGATGACAACATATAACCTTAAAACCGAAGCAGTTCACAGCTAAACCATACCTCCAGTGTAAGAAGGCAAAGTGGTCACCTTGCTCATCATATCATTAAAAACTTTTTCTGATGGCTCAACCACCATGACTCCAGAATTCAGTCTCTCAGAATGTTTTAAATTTGCACAAAACTTCCCACATTTAAACAGATCTTCAATGCTTTTAACAACAATAGTATCAGCGTCAAGATACACCACTGCCAAAACAAGGGAGAAATGGCAAGAATAAGGTCTACAAGTCAGAAAACCATATGCATATTGCTTAGCAGAAAAGAAAACTACAGGAGTAATGAGATATCTGTTTGAAATATTCAGGTAATGAAACAAGCTAGGTCTCTATCTTTCACATACCCATGGCCCTTCTGTTTAACAGCATACACAAGAGATGACTTAATTGTACTAAAGCCTAGAGCCTGGTAGTACACGCATAGCATCGGCAACAAAAATTACCAGAATAATTGCTCGAGCCACCTATGGGATTACACTGGGTATGTTGTTGTTGTTGTTGTTGTTGTTCCAATTGCTTGAGCCACATTTCATCTAAATAAAGTTTTATAGTAGCAGAACATGGTTCTCTTTATCTTCAGATATATTCACCTATTTTTTACTCTTAGTACAACTACATACTCGATGTACTTGCAGCTACATCAGTTTTTTAAAAACAGGCTGACAAAATGACGTTTGAAGTAAAGGAATAAAATTGGAAGAAGAAAACTGAATTAAATTAGACCACTTATACCATCCATTATATAACAGGACATACCATCCATTATAGAATGGTGGAAATCATCAAGAAGACAATAAAATTCATCAAGACAAAGTTTAGAAACACCTAAGAAATATCCAAGGTTCTATTTTACATCCCTTTCTTTCTTTAGCATTTAGGTTGAAGTTTGACACATATCGAATTACCTTTCTTGTAAGTGGTCATGTTAAATATTTTTAGCTTTGTGTAGACGCCCCAAAACCTCTTCGGTCTCACTTGATTTGGGTTTGCCAGTAAACTAATTTTCTCCACAATCCAACCATCTGCCTGCAAGAAAGAAACCAAACACCAAAACAACCATTTTAACAGGAAAGTTAAGCACCGCCTAGAAATAGCTACACAATAAACAAAAAGATTGATAATTAATTTAAGAATAAATGCTACAATAAAGAATAACAGCTAAAACAAAGACTATTATAGGACTTCACCCAGGCAAAGTAAATCACAATTCACAGGTACCACTTTTACGATTTGCTTTTACTGACTGGAAAGAATGTGAAGTGATTTAGTTTCAAAATAGAAAAAAGAATCTATCTTCAAGATAGACCCAGTTTACTACTTCTAACAATTGAGCAACACTCGAATTAGATTTTAATATTCACTTACTTACTAGTCCTAGATCACTAATAAAGCAATCAACTAAACATTCATCAATTTACACTCTTAAAGAATACCCATGAGGAAGTGAACTTTCTTTTTCTAACAATTTATGTTTACGGCTCAGCTTGTGTGTACTTTCACTAATCCACAAGGCAATCAGCTAAAACCCACAATGCAAGTGATGGGAAAAACCTGCTCACAGAAGCTGGATAGATGGGCTTACACACTGAAGCATTGTACAGGGGGATTCAGACCAGAATCACCAGGTTTTTCTCTTATGGCTTAAACACTGAGTCATCCTCTTGGAGACAATACTGAGCTATTCTTAACATGCAAGCACATAAAAAGTTGAATTTATTGGTCCTACAACAATAACAAATCAGCTAACTTTACAGTTCCCAGCTCAGCAACAATAACAAATCAGCTAGCTTTATATTTCCCAGCTCAACAGCAACAACATCATACCTAGTGTAATCCCACAAGTGGGGTCTGGGATGGATAAGATGTATGCAGACCTTACCACTACCTTTAAACGGTAGAGAGATGTTTCTATAATTGAATATCCAAAATGGATCCAAATGAAACAGAACGAAATGGATTCATATAGTTGACCCCAACTAGTTTGGGATCGAGGGGTTTATGTTCTTATAAGCAAACACATAGAAGGCGAAAAAATGAGTTCATTAGTCCTAGAACAATAACAATTCAACAGTCTTCACATCTCCCAGCTCAACCTTGTAAAAAAAACTATAATTGAGTATCCGATACAGGTACAAATGAAACAAATTAAAATAAGATTCGTATAGCCGACCTCAACTAGTTCGAGATCAAGGGGTTTATGTTCTTGTACTAGTATTCAGTAATACTCAAAAATAACTTTGATCAGAGTACAATCAAAACCTACCTGGAGTAGTTGTTTGGCATATTGAGAGACCCCATCAGAGACCAAAACTACCATATCTTTGGCGGATCCAGTATCCCTAATGGACTTGCCAAGTACTCGAACCCCAAGCAAGAACTCATCGCCATACAAAAGGGTCACATATGCTTCATCAGATTTGGAACAATAAACTCCAATTAAACAATTACACAATAAGAATAAAACCCCAAATCGTAAAAAACTGATTCTCATCACACTACACTGAAAAAAAGATCCTTTTTTTTTCTCTTTTTCAAATGGAAATTGAAAAAGGGGATCTATTTTCAACTGGGGTTTTTGAATTCTTCAAAGTTCATATGGATTCTTGATTTTTTATTGCTCCTTTTTCCAGCAAGGCAATGTTCAGAGTCTTGTTTGTCGTCTCCCTTTTTGGTTTGGCTGTCTTTCTGGAAAATAGGAGTTGTCAACCGTCTCTCAACGTGCTCATATGGATAAAAGGAAATTGCATGGAACAAGGAACAAAACAAAAATACCATACCACATAGGTCGTGGTGGAAGGGTAAGTCTCGTATTTGAGTTTCGATATAAAATAATTTGATTGGGAGTGTGGTCTTCCAAAATGGTCTCTTCAATGCGTGAATTTGAATGAGGTTGTCTCTAATTAAGATAGCGAATACTAGATGAAAAACAAAAAGAAAAAGAAGAAGCATAATTTTGATTCGTATTGATTGAGTATAATGTTCGTATTAGATACTTTCTACTCATATTTTTGTTAAGTCGAGTTTCCATTACGTATATTAGTTAATTATATAAAATGTTCTACTTTAGTTATGTACATCAACATTAATTGGAACATACACAAGTGTTTCACCACTTATTGAGATTAATAATGTGTATGATTAAGTAGGTCTGGACATAATATGGTTAAAATCGAAAAAATCGATCGAATCGAATTTTTTGAAATTTTGGTTTCAGTTTTTCAGTCGGTTTCGATTTCAAATTTCAATATTTTGGTTTTTTCGATTTTTTAGCTATAGAAACTCGATTAATCAAAAAACCGATTTTTTTTTTTAAACCCTTAAATCTTAATTAAATTACTTCAGTCTTCAACCCATGCCCCAGCCGGTCCATTAAATCTTATTTTAAGTCATTTTTTACTTATTTTAAATTATTTTTATATTTATCAAACACTTCTAAAAGTTAAAAATTGACTTAAAAGTAGATTTGATCGACTTTTAAGTCAATCCAAACGGGCTCTTATTCTTGAATGGGAACGCCGTTCTTTTCGGTGTCCACTATGAGTTACCGGTAACATTGTTCTGCCAATGTCTAGTATAGCAGAAAAATGATCCTCCAACTGCACTTAAGAAAAGGAAAGAAAGGGCTGTGTATTTGTAATGAATAGAATGAAAGGATGAATGTTTTTGATTCTAAGTTGTGAATGGGCGTAATCGTGAAGCAGTTACCCAAGTTTGGTTGGTAGACTCGATTTTCCACATATTGGAAGTTAGTTTAGCTTGTTTGTTGCTATAATAATGCTCTTTCTTTGTTTTTGGGTTCCTTGTATCTGGAAAAAAAAAGTGAGACCTACTTAAAACACGAAATAGTGATTGAATTTTTAAATTGTACCACTATTTATTAAATTTGGTTAAAACCGAACCGAAATTGTAATAACCGAACTGAATCGAATTTATTTCAATTTGATTTGGTTTCACATTTTTGCCAAACTGAACCAACCGAATGCCCATCCCTACTTTTAGAAGTGAAAATCCATATGCCTGATAGATTTTGAGGGCTCAATTTTTTTCTTCAGATTAAGAGATTTAGTGAATTATGAGTTCACTTAATCTGATTATGAGTTTGTTTTAAGTCTTTAATTTATAGTGGTACCTAATTCATTGGAGAGCTAATTTTGTGTGGTTATATGTACAATGTCTTGCTGTCAATGTACCTAAAATATATTTCCAGGGCTTGAGTTTTCTAGATAGAAGCAACATGTTGACAGATTCAAGCAAGGAAGAATCTTTGCCCCTTAGTGACCTTGATCTCGATCTTCTTGTTGATGCTGCAGGGGAGATCATTCTGAGACACTATTTGGCTCGGGGCAGTGTCTTCAAGGTTTCCGATGCTAATGTTCCATTATGGACAAACATTGCCGCTGAAGCAGAGAAGGCTATGATCTCACTAATCCTGAAAGATTTACCTTACCACGCTGTGTGTGGGAAACAATCTGGATGGAACAACAATTCCTGAGTTTGTTTGGGTTTTGGAATCTATTGATGGTGCAGAGGAGAGACTCTTGCCTACATTTGGCACGTCGCTAGCTGTAGTTCACAACGGTAAACCGGTCATTGGATGCATCTGTAATTACAACAAAGATGCTAAACACACCTACAACCGGTTGGCAATACAAGGTCGGAGAAACCTTCTTCAACGGCAACTGCATTGCTTACTCTGAGTTAGCTGCCGGTATGTTGCAAGTTGTCGTTGACTGTGCTGTCGAGCCCTATGGTCTTCTCGGGCTAGTTCCTATAGTAGAGGGTGCTGGTGGAATCATAACTGACTGGCAACCTTCTCCAGCATCTTCCGTTCCTCAAAATTCTTTCAAGGTTGTTGCTGCTTCTGACTTGATAACTCACCAACAGATCATTTCTGAACTATCATAGTAGTTTAATTAGTTACAATTCTATTCAATTAACTGATTTTTTCAGATTAGTTCACTGTTTTTTGTTTGGTTCATGTAGAAAAAACCTTGAGTTTCACTAACAAAATGAAAACTTCATTAATGTTGTGATTATACAGAAATTACTAGTACTACTACTACACTCGTCCTACATGACAACTGATGTTGTGGATCAGTAATAACGTCATGTGTTGTATATTTTTTGATTTGATAATAAATACGGATATCTTAAAATTTATGTTATTATCCTCAAACATTTGATACCTTATATTAACCTATTCATTCTTTTTATTCTTTTTTAATCTTCTTATGCCAAACTTTGGAATAAACCTATCATTTTTTTGTAAAATAAAAATGAAGTTTGATCCTAGCCAATGTCCTCTAGTCAACACATAACAATAATTTTTTTAAAAAAATTAATCTTTGGAGTAATCACCACAAAGACTATATAATGCACTATACAAGATTTTTTAGATAGTGAAAAACTTCATTTCTATCTCTTCTACTTCTACTTTTTAATCAGATTCAAGTTCACTCCAATATAATTTTACGACAATGGACACTCTATTCTCCTCCTCCTTGGAAGAAATGAGAAAGATAAATTTATTGGGAGTTGGGTATTTTTTGTTAACAATTTTAATTATTTATGTTACTAAATGGATTTATAGATGGAGAAATCCAAAATGCAATGGAATTCTTCCACCAGGTTCAATGGGATTTCCTTTTATTGGGGAAACTCTTCAATTGATACTTCCAAGTCACTCATTGGACCTTCCTCCATTCTTGAAAAATAGAATTAAAAAGTAAGTCCATGTTCTTGCTTCCACTTTAATGTTGTAAATAGTGACAGATTTAGAATTTAGACGTTGTAGTTTTGAATTGAAAATTTGAATTTTTGAAACGTGTTTGTAATTTTATTTATCCGACCAAAAATAGTACTATTGACCCTCCATTTCAGTTTAAGTTTCTTACATTCTGTTTTAGTTTGTTTCCAAAGAATTTTTCTATCAAAATTGGAAATAAATGTATTTTAAAATTTTCACTTTATCTTAATGAAAAGTTTTTATAGTCACACAAATTTTATAACATATTTATTATCATAAGTTTAATAACCACACAAATACTTGACATATTTAACGTGACAAGTTCAAAAGTCTTCATTTCTTTCTTGAATTCCGTATTCAATCAAATAGCAATACAATAACATATTCAGTGGAATCTCACACATGAGGTTTGGAAAGGGTACTACCGTATGGTATATACGCAGACCTTATCCTGAAGACTGCATCTGAAAGACTCCCGACTCAAGTAAAGCATATCCAAATAGTTATGAAAAGGGGATAACTTCACATAAATTGAAACAGATAAAGTATTACTATTTTATTGTACTGAAATTTGTCTATTACATCAATATGATTTTTTTTCTACTTATTTCAGATATGGACAAATGTTTAAAACAAATATAGCAGGAAGGCCAGTGATTATAAGTGCTGATCCAGAATTCAATAGTTTTATTCTTAAACAAGATGGAAAATTAGTGGAAACATGGTCATTAGACACTTTTGCTGAAGTATTTGAACAAAATACACATTCTTCAAGAAAATATACAAGACATTTGACTCTAAATCATTTTGGTGTGGAGGCATTAAAGGAAAAATTACTTCCTCAAATGGAAATTTTTATTAATTTGGTTCTTGAAAAGTGGTCAAGTCATGAGTCTCTTGAAGTAAAAAGTGCAGCCATTAAAGTAAGTAAATTCCAAACTTTATTATATGTTTTATTTTTTGAAATTGTTGTAGAAAATGACAAAAATAATCTTCAACTTCGAGAATGCACATCTAGACACTTCAATTCATTTCTAACTGTATCTCGTGGATATTCAATGTTGATGTGACATATAAAATTTTGAAGGTGTCTAGATGATTATTTTGTAAGTTGGAGTGTTCAATTGGCACAGTAGAGACGAGTTGATATGTCTGGATGTGCATACTCTAGAACAACTGAACACTCCAACTTTGAGAATATACATCTAGACACCTCAACTTGTCCCCGCTATTGTCTCGTGGACATGTGTCAATGACATGATACATAAATTTTTGAGGTGTCTAAATGATTATTTTGTAAGCTGGAGTGTTCAACTAACATAATACAGATTGTGGTATCTAGATGTACATATATATGAATGTTAGAGTGTTTTAGTTGTCAGTTAACATCAAATTAATATGTCCATTTATGTATTATGCCTTCTTTTTTTTAATGGAAACACTATTTGAGGTGCATCTTTTTTTGTCTATTTATGATGTTTGATATATCTTTTTTTCTATTTCTATTGCAGATGACAGTTGATTTTGCTGCAAAGCAAATTTTTAGTGGTGATCTTGAGAATGCACCATTTAATATAAGTGACATGTTTAGAGATTTAGTAGAAGGTTTAATGTCATTCCCAATTAATCTTCCTGGAACTTCTCATCATAAATGTTTAAAGGTATAAAAAAAAATACTTAAACGTTATTTCAATCATTCTAACAAAAAACAGTTTATCAGTACTTTTTCAATCAATCACATCAACTGCTTATTTATAATATCAGTTTCAACACTTGAAGCTTATCAGCTAATCCAAACGGACTCTGATGCAGATACATAAGAAAGTACGTGAAACAATGAGAGACGTACTGAAAAAAAGGATAGAGTCATCTACAAAAAAACGCGAAGGAGAGGAAGACCTAGTTGATCATCTTCTAAGAGACATGGATTCTCAGAAATTTTTAACAGAAGATTACATAGTTCAAATGATGTTTGGTTTGTTATTTGTCACTTCTGATTCTGTTTCAACTACATTGG